AATTTGAACTATTTCTTACGAAATTCTTTACCGAATGGAATCACAGATCCAGTCATATTTGATTGTTGGAGGCGTATATACTGCTTTCTTGAATGAATTAAAAGGAGGGAGAAATTGTGGGATAAGAGCCCACTTGTTGAAATAAATAAGTTAAAATTTATCAACAAAAAAAATAGCACGTGATAACAAAAAGTCGGGTAACACTCTTTTGAAATATTAACCTGAACAAATAAAATCAAACTGAAATAACTGAATAAATAAAATTAAACCACATTTATAGTCTTAGATAGTTAAGGAAGGTGGGAATTAACACATTAAGAGAACAATATCGATTATACAAGTAAATTTATATTAATCATCTCATCTCAAACTTACTAGTTAGTAGTAAGTGTTTCTTACTGATGTCCAATTTTAAATTTAAGTCAACAAAAAAAAAGAAAACGAAATCAAAGCTTGTACCCTTTTTGAAAGTTTTACACGCACCTTTTATAAAAATCACAACAATCAACCTAATCAACCATGGGTACTACTAGATTTATACATATAACATCACCACCTTCTAAACGAACAGTATGTATTCCTCCCGTATAAGTTTTGAGTTAAGATGACACACTAACGCACTCTTGTTTTATTAAGAAAGTTGTAAAAGCTTGTGTTTATTGTAAATATCATCATCGAAAATGTTTCATTCATCCCGGTGAAACATATTGTGGCCATTGTCTTAGAAAGGGAATAGAATGTACTTATACTGGTGAACTCCCGGTTCATCTAAGAAAGAAACCAACCGAAAGATCGACTCGTGACTTTAGAACAATTCAGAAATATATTAGAGAAGAAAATGTCTATGCGTTGATGTTACCCCGGAATGACAACCCAATTGCAACTTCTACTCCAACTCCCAATTCACCCGCAGGCGCGACAGCATCCACCAAGGAATCCACATCTAAGACATCCAAAAGCACCAGCATCAAGAAATCCGCACAATTTGTATGCTCGACCAATCCAGTCGCGTCGATCCTCAGTACCGACAAATTCCTCTGTTTGGACGGAGACACCTTCGGTCTCTACAATCCTTGGAGATCAATAGAAGAAATGGACGAATATAGTGCCATAACCACCAGTAATGTCCATCAAGAATCATTCAAACAATATCTATATTCAAAAACTACTGCTTATGCCATGGCTCCCATGAATGAACAACGAAGATTATTGCAGGTATTTTTGGATAGGATATATCCTTTATATCCCATAATTGACCGTCCGATTGAAGGGGAGGATGTGGGTGAATATTTATCGAATATGCCGTTCTTGTTAAGAAATGCGATTTTTTTGGTGGCGGAAAGGTGTTTGATGGATAATGAAAGAGGAAAAAGAGGTAGTAGTGGAGAAGGGGGTGACGATGAGGGCGAAAGTGTAAGAAGTCGATGTCAGACTTTGTACGATAGGTGTAGATTGTTGGAATTGGTTGAGACTGATAAGATTGTTCTTATCCAGTCATATTTATTAATGTCGATTCATGAAGAAGGCGTGAATGGTGGGTCGTTGGCTAAAGAATATGTAAGTAAAGCATGCGTACTTTGTGGAGATTTGGCATTACATAATCTAGGTGGGTCCGATGGGATGTTTGAAGGTGGTGCAAAACAAAGAGTATATAAAGGAAAAGTATACAAATATCCAATATTAAAACGAATCTTTTGGACAGCATATTGTTGTGATCGATTGGTTGCATCTACAAGTGGTAGAGAAATGTATTTTAATAACGAAGACGTCCTTATTGATGAGCTATCTCTTGACGATTTTCAAGTTGGTTTATTACAATTGTTTGATTTTATGTTTTTAAGATCATGGATTGAATTGAGTAGATTTATTGAAAGGATTTTGGCATGTTGTTATCGTCCTCCAAGTAGAAGAACCAAAGATGAACTCTTAGAACAAGACTTGTTGAATTGGAAATTGCAAGAAGTATTACCCGGGTTTGAATTGTCGAATCTTTTGAATTTAGTTCATGCTTATTGCTGTTTAGTCTATTTCCGATGTAAAATGGATCCCTTGTCGTTATTACAAAAAAAGGCGGACACGGTTGAACCGACTCATATGGCATTGATTGAAAAATATTCCCTGGCAATTGTCAATACTAATTTAAATCAATTGAAAATGCATGTTGTAGGAGTACATGCAATATTACACGTCATAGCATTAATGCAACTTCAACTGCTGGATAATGGAGATGTACCTTACGATCTACAAAAACTGATTAGAAAATCGGGATTGAATATATTACATAAATTGAAAGACATATGGTGGTTTGCCGCTAGTAGTTTAAAACTACTAGAATCATCAGCACCAGCACCACCTGTCACTCCCTAAAATAAAGATCTATTTAATAAGTATTAGCTAATTATATATTTTTAAATAACCTCTCCTTGTGTTTTGTCATCAAATGATTCATTGAATCTTCTTGAGATTCAGATTCACACCCTGAATCCCATTTCAAATTAAATCTCCCTTCAGGAGCAACATATTCTTCAATCGCTGTAATAACTCCTTCAGGAGTATCAGCCACTTTAATAATCTCACCATTCTTAACACTAATAAATTCACTCTTAATAGAATCTTGTAAAAATTGTAAAAAATTATCAAAAAACCCATCAATATTAAAAATAACAATTGGTTTATCATGAATATTCAATTGATGCCAAGTAACAACCTCCATCAACTCTTCTAAAGTCCCATATCCTCCAGGCATGGCCACAAATGCATCCGCTTCTTGTCCCATCAATTTCTTTCTGGTATGCATATCTTTAACCAATGTAGTTTTCCCATATTCCGTCGAATCAGGAATTGGAGTCACTCCAGTATGATTATCAATTGATTGTTTTAATTTTTCATTTATACTATCAGCACTAGTAGCACCACCATTGGTATCAGTACGTTCTCGGGTGATTAATGCTTCTGGAATGATACCATGAACGTATCCTCCTGATGTTGTACATGCTTTGGCAACTGCACCCATTAATCCGGTAGTGCCGCCTCCATAGACTAATCCCCAGTTTTTTTGGGCGAGGGTTTGACCTAAGGCAGTAGCTTGGACGATGAAGTTTGGTTTATTTCCGAATGAGGATCCACAGAAGACACAAACTGTTGTCGTGTGGGTCATGGTGATGAAATTGCTATAAGGAATAATAAGGTGAGAATGGGGGATAAAATGGGTAAAAAGGGTTGAAAAAGAATAGTTCCAGTTGGGAAATAAGTCCGTTCCAGTGAGTGTGTGTGGGTCCCTGTGGGTACAGTGCGCGTCGTGGTGGATGACGATGAGCTTGGAACGGGAAAAAAAATAAATTCTATCGCTTAAAAAATTGTGGGAGATATGAAATGGTACCCACGTTTCCATTTAACACATCGAGAGCTGTTGCCGCTTGCGGATAAGACGGCGACAATATCCACTTGAATTAACACATGCAAACTACGTATTCAAAGAGATTGGTTATTAGTGTTCATGGCAAAAAAAAAATGTTCATTAATATCTCTCTAATAATAACATAATACTAAAACTCTATATAGGCGTAACAATAAGAAGTGAAAAAAGGGGTTGTTGGGTTGGCGTGTCTAATAAGGATTGTATTCATCAGTCAAGTGTTCATCCATAACATGGAATAAATCTTCATGTTCATCATCTGGGATTTCAACTTCTGATAAAAGCCCACTAGCAACATCATACATCATTCCCCAAACTTCAATTTCACCATTTCGAAGGGCCATTGAAGCACTTGGATGTCTTTTTAACGCAGTAACTGATGCAATAACATTTAATTCAGCTAATTTTCTTGCTTTTTCCTTGGGGTTTGAATTTAACAGATTAAGTAATTGTAAATTAGAAGCTCTAATATGTCTAATTGGATTAAGCCATAAATCTAATACACCCCCAATTTTTTTCAGTGATAATGAAGCCCAAATACCACCACAATCAGTATGACCACATACAATAATTTTCCTAACTTTTAAAACATCAATAGCAAATTGTATAACCCCTTGAGAACTTATATCATTAGCATTTATAATATTGGCAATATTTCTATGAACAAAAATTTCCCCTGGTAATGTAGCTAAACATTGATCACCACATCTTGAATCACTACAACCAACCCATAAAGTATGAGGAGATTGCCCTTTTGAATTTGTTTCAAAAATGATATCTCCATGATTATGTCTGACGGAATCAACAAAATATCGATTATTATTTAAAAAATCATTTAAAGTTGAATCTTTTGATAAAGTGAAAGGGAAATTATCATGATGATGAAGCGATCTTTTTAAAGTTTTAACTTGAGGTTGTTCTTCTTCTGATTCTTCATCTTGTGGAGGTGGAGTAGTGACTAAATCAGTCTTATAATCTCCATGCTCCAATTGATAATGAACAATGTTCTGTTTACCCATAGCTGTTGTTGAACTAGTAAGTTGACGTTTATAAATATAATTGGGTAATCGATTAATGAAACTCAATTTGACTGAATTTTCTGGTTGCTTATATAATAAAGTATTATAAAATGTAAATGCTCTTAACTCAATCTTCTTAGTTAAGATACCAATAATTATGAATTAGTTTAAATTTAACTGCGAAAAAAACTGTAAAAAATAGAATGGAATGAAATTTATTTTTTTATTTGGTTGCTGTTGTTGTAACACCTTTATAAGTTTATCCTATCTTTACTTTTAACAAAACAAGTATAAATATTTAACTGAAGTTTATAAAAGAAAGAAAGAGAAAGTGGGAAATTAAATGGATTTTTATATATTCCCTTTAAAAAAGAGAAAAAGGAGAGAGATGATGAATTGATTAGAAAGACAGACACAAAGATAGATAAACTGTAAGAAAATGGACTCAACAATTTTTCAAAACTGTTGCATCGTTGACGTTATCATTATTTTTTGTCCTAATTTTTACATGTTAAGTATTTGGTCATAGATAATCAGTAGAAAAAAATCTTAAGTTTACATGTTATATTGTCTGTAGATAAGTGATGTCACTAATAACCTGTAAATATCATTTATTTTTAATTCTTTTGCGAAACTAAATTTTGAATTTTATTTGAAATAAAACGCTTTCCGTAAATTGGTATCAAATATTTTTACACATCAGACAAAACACTCAACAGCCCCCCGGGCCAACCCCTTTCCAACCGGGCTTACATAATGGTATCATACTCGGAATAGAGTGTAGACATCAAGATGTTTCAGTCGTACACTTTGTATTGTTCGGAGTTCTCTATCTACTGATTAGTCGGAGTTACATGTTGAAGAGAGCAAAAAAAGGAGGGGAGTAAATAAGAGGTTCAACTTCGGCTTTATAGTTCCATAATTATTATTTTTTTTTTCTATTTTTTTCGTCGGCTGTTGAAGATGTCTTAGATATTTTTTGATTGTGTAATTAATTATAGGACAAGAAAGAAACAGGATGACTCGGAGATTCCTTCTGACTCGTCCTCCGTTAACGAGAATCCCAATTAGGAAATATTATCTCCAAGAAAAAAATTAAGCGCGATACCTGATCACCGAACTGAAAAATTACCCAAAAATCAGGTCATCTGACTTCGGGAAAATTAATCAAAAATCTCTCCTCATAAATGTAGATTTTTTAAACCTGACTCGAGTGGAGATAAATGACTATGACTCTCTCATTAATAATCAAAGTTGATTCATGAATCATTTAGTATAGCATGCGCGACCAATTGTATTGCTTGAGTTTGTTTTAGCCACACCAAAAATACAATAGTTTGCAACTTCTCCAAGTCGTCTAATTGCAAAAACTTCAATTTGACAATCGTCTCTTAAACTCGCATGGGTGGTTGTCTGAATTACTCTCGCCCCTATGTTGCGCTTTCCTTTTATCAGGGTTCAACCACTTCCCGGGATATACCGATGCCAATGTTTGCAGGGCAACGTGACATTCCAGTTTTAGCAAAAAGCACACCACTTCTTTGCAAAAAGATAAGTTAGTTCAGCCAAGTCGCCAAGGAGATCTTAAACGATTCAATTCCGAATACAAGAAACAGGTGACAGACATAGATATTATCCGCCTGTGAATACTTCCGATCCAGCGACCCGTTCCCAGCAAGAATTTACATAGACTAATCCATGTCTTGCCATAAGTTTATGTAATAAACACTTAAAGAGCCTGGGGTGATTCAACTAGGTTTTTAGGCAATTATAGTGTTTGAAGATTCCGGATCATATTGTTCCAAAAATATTGCAAATTTTCTAGGCTGTTAAATCGTTTAATTTGCAAAGCTCACAACAACACCATAATAGTAAGAAAACTTCTTACTTTGTAAACTAATTCAAGTTAAATGAATCCTAATTATTAACATTCTATTTGTCATGCTGTGCGTACCTTAAGAACATGAAAGTTTCGAATTTTTTAACTTAAAATGCAAGTAAAATTTGAATTGATGGAGCGTGGTCTGAGTAAACCGTCCAGGGATTGTTGGTTAACTCCCAATACAGCCTGAATATGGCCTTTATAAAGCAGATACAGGCTTGCTTTATTAATCTCCCAATTCAGGTATTTTGCTATTGACAACTTTCGTGTTCATTTGGTTGCAAAAAAAAATTCGCAATGATTACATAATCGAGATCAATCACGTGACAAATAAAAAAATTGGTTGTAAAAAGAATTCTGGACGCGTCGTACTCATCTACAAATTCAATTCAATTACTAACCAGTTGCTTTGATCCACTCAATACACCATACAGCAATGACTACGAGTCCTCCATTATCAAGCGATGATGAATTTCAAGAAGAAAGTAAATCAACACTTAGAAAGTTGATTCAAGAACAACTGCATCTCCAAAATGGTCATGATGAAGAACAACAACAATTTAACGGTTTATCCAAAGACTTGAAATTAACTCGATTAAATAATCTTATTGAAAAATCACAAATATATTCAAAAATTATAGCTGATAACATCTTACAATCATCATTACAAATGCAACAGCAACAACAACAACAGGAACAGCAGCCTACCCCGGAAGAAACTCCTAAGCGTAAAAAACGTAAAACCGCGTCATCCAAAAAGCAAAATGCCCAAAAGGATATAGTCTCCATGTTATCCACCAACATCTCCGATTCGACAAAATCAACCAGGGAAGCAATTGAAAAATCTCAAAGTTCATCCAATCATTCAATCCAACAACCTAAATTACTCTCGGGGGCAACTTTGAAAGATTATCAATTGGATGGCTTAGAATGGTTGGTTACTTTATATCAGAATGGTTTGAATGGTATATTGGCTGATGAAATGGGGTTGGGGAAGACGATTCAATGTATTGCATTTTTAAGTTTTTTGATAGAAAAAGGGATTAAAGGTCCTTTTTTGATTGTGGTTCCATTATCGACGTTGTCGAATTGGGAGAATGAAATTAGAAGATTTGCACCAAAAGTGAAAGTATTTAAATATGGTGGGAATAAAGTTGAAAGAGCCAAGATTAATTTAAGAAATAAAAAAGATGTGAATATTATTTTAACATCTTATGAAATTTCAATTCGGGATTTTTCAAAACTTTCAAATATAAATTGGAATTATTTGATTGTTGATGAAGGTCATAGATTGAAGAATAATGAATGTTTATTGATTAAATTCTTAAAGAAATTGAATGTGTCTAATAGATTATTATTAACTGGTACTCCATTACAAAACAACTTGAATGAATTATGGTCATTGCTTAATTTCATCCTTCCCGATATCTTTCATGACTTGGAATTATTTCAACAATGGTTTAATTTTGATGAATTAACAAATTTTGCCGATAATGAATTGGAAGAAGATGAAGAAACCAAAAGATTAATTAAGATAAATATTCAAGAAACCTTGATTAAGAATTTGCATACAATTTTGAAACCATTTATTTTAAGAAGATTGAAACGTGATGTGATTTGGGATCTTCCTCCCAAGAAAGAATACTTGATTCATATTCCATTGACTCCAATGCAACGAAAATTGTATTACGATGCAATTAATAACAAATTGGCCAAGGGATTAATTGAAGTTCATTTGAAAGAATTTATAAAATTTTATCATTGGGATTTATTTAAGCATGATTTGAACAAGATTGACGAATTTTTGGAAAATGGAGGAGTAGTTAACAAACCAAACGGATCTAATAAAAGAAGTACAAGGTCTTCATATAAGGAAGCAGAATCTGATGATGAATTTACTGCAACTGAAAGTGAAACTGATGTATCAACTATCTCCACTGAATTTAATTATGAAGAAACATTGTCCAGAATCAAAAGTATTCGTAATAAATCCCAACAACAAACCATGATTCTTGAATCGGTTTACCATTATGTTTGCAAAAATGTCAGACATTTATCATTACAAAACCCCATGGCTCAATTACGTAACATTTGTAATTCTCCATACATCTACTATGATCCAACATACTTACCATCCCAAGAATTACCCCAAAATCACAGTGACGAAAAGTTCATGAGATCACTTGTGGCAAACTCAGCCAAATTCCAATTCCTCAACCAAATAATCCCACCATTACTTTCCAACAATCATAAAGTTCTCATATTTTCCCAATTCACCAAGTTGTTAGATTTATTACATGATTATTTCACCAATCAAGACATCGCAGTTTGTCGTCTTGATGGATCCACTCCACAATCTGAACGTCAAGACCAAATCAACCAATTTAATAAATCCAAATCTGAAGAAAAAGTATTCTTACTTTCAACAAGAGCCGGAGGATTGGGGATTAATTTAGTAGGTGCCGATACGGTGATTTTGTTCGATAGTGATTGGAACCCACAAATGGATCTCCAAGCTATTGATAGAGTACATCGTATTGGACAAGTGAATCCAGTTAAGATATATCGATTTATTACTAGGGGATCGATTGAGGAGATTTTGATTACAAAATCAAGTAATAAGCGGTTTTTGGAACGGTTGGTTTTACAAATGGGTGAGTTTAAGTTTAATAAATTGAAGAAATTGATTGGAGTTGATAATGAGGGTGAGGATAATAACGAGGAATTGAATGTTACGGAGTTGATTGAGGTGACTAAACATACTTTCCATCCTGGTGACAGTGATGATGATGCTGATATGGATGATTTGGATAAGCAATTTGATGTTTTTTCAAAAGGAAAAGAAGAGAAGGAATTGTTGACTACTGAAGAATTTGATGAGTTGTTGGATCGTTCTGATGAGTGCTATTTATCTACCGATGACTCTCAATTTAAGAATATTAGTGTGTTTGAGACTGTCAACAATATGGATAAATAGTTGTTGCATGTTAATGGGATTCATACGGAGAATATATAGAAATGAGGTATAGTTATATAATTTAGAAATACATCTAGGGAAAGCTGATAAAGGCATGATGTTATTTCAGAAGTAACTGCGAATTGTGAATTTCGCAGAAAATTTTGTTCGTATAATTTAGAAAATAAATTTAAACTTAATTTTAGTCAAAAAAATAATATTTTTTAGCATTGTATTAATTATTTTTTGTGTTTTTAGTCGCGTAATTATACAGTAATTATAATTATGAATTTTCCAATGGTCTAGATCTAGACACCATTCGAGAATTTCATCAGTTCAATCGCACAAGGAAGGTTTTCAGAGAAACGATGCAGTAAAATTTTTAGGACTTAATCTTTTTTCTTCAACATGTAAATACGAGTCGAAGCCTTGGGAGTTTCAGGGGACCGGAGTCGGTAAAGCAACGTGATTTAGTGCCGAGGAAGCAACATGAGAAAGAAGAGATGTCATCGTTGAGGTAAACTAAACCTACAGCAGAAACTCTATCTCCAGTCTGCTGGTCAGCTTGGTGGATACCAACATGTATCGGCCCCTAAATACAAAATGACTCATGACCGTTTCAAAAATGGACCATAGCAAGCACTTTCAAATTTTGCGCTGTAATTCGGTGAGGCAAACAAGAATTGACGAACCAAGAAAAAATTGATTGTTGACAGATCCACTTTTTTGACAATCTCCACTTTATATATTTATATCGCATAATGGAATGTTGTAAGCTTCTCATTCCAGGGCCATTCTTGCTTCCAGTTGAAATCATAGAATTGGTATTTAGTTATATTCCCACTAAGAATTTATTGGCATACAGCGATATTGCAATTATAAGTGAACATGCTATCCATGCTTTAAACAAGGGGAGACTTGAGATTTCGATAGGTTCCAGGTTATATGCCTTTAGCGCTTATGACTATTGTATTGGCGATGATTGGAAAATGAAACCCATTGGTGATGAAACAACGGTGGAATTACGCAGCTATCGCAAACAAGTGGTTCGTTCTATCCAGTTTCAAGATATCGACGGCCTCGATGATTTCGTACAGTTTATGAGAGATCGCCCTAATTTACATCCCGAGTTGGTTATTGTAGGCTATGATACTATGATGGAGTTGTATGAAAGGGACATATCTTCGATTCGAAATACTCAAAGGATAATTTTACTGAACAAGTTCACCGAAGACCGGGGGGAGTTCATGAGAAAAGTTTCTACTATTCAGCTTCCAATATATGGTATTCGTCCTACAGGGTCTTGGACCCACAATGGTCACCAAGAATACTTAGCGCCATTTCAATTAGGAAGGTGCCCATACCATCTTTCAGCACTAGACCTAACGGAAATTGATTCAGATGATTTGATATACCTCCCAAGAACCTTAAAAGTTTTAGGAATTAGTTTGAAGTCAAATCCTGCCAGTTTTAAGCCAAGTTTGCCGCAAACATTAGAGAGTCTTTCCATTCAGTTTCCGTATCGTTCGGAGCTAATCAACGAGTTTGATATTACTTCATTAGCCCACTTGAAAATCCTAGAATGTCGATACTTTCCAGTGGAGCACTTAGATATCTTGAAAGCTCCCCAAACAATCGAGAACTTAAGCATAGTATCAGAAAAACTTACTTGTCTAGCAAGTATAGAAAAGTATACCAAACTTAATGAACTACATTTAAGTATAGAAGATGCTGACGCACGTCTAATATTCGATTGCGATTTTCCAAGCTCCATTGAGAGGTTGCATTTTAAGTGGGTATGTCACAGCCTTGAACATGAAATTGGTTTCGTTGAGGGGCATCTGATCCCTACTCCGATGCCTCCAATTATTCTTCCACCAAAGCTCAGAGCCTTTACACTTTTCGCCAAATCACAATTGTTTTGTCCAGAAGATTATATTTTGCCAGATTCATTGAGAATTCTCTCCTTGGAGGTTGATAGTTTACCTTCTGGAATTCAGCTTCCGCCAAATTTGATCATTTTAGACCTATATTGGAGTCAGCACTTTACAGGTCCAGAACATCTACCCAAATCGTTAGTTTATTTAGGTATATCTGCCTTACCGGATAACAAAGATTGTCTCATTAACTTACCAAACTTGACTCGTCTTGAAATGCGCTCGGACTATAAACCTTTAACGTCATTTGAATGGGAGCTTCCCAACACACTTAAGACTTTAAATTTAGCATTTAATAATTTCAAGTGTATAAAGCTAGAAAATCCAAATCTAAAGGTGGTTAACTTATCTACAAATTATTTTGAATGTTTGGAAAATCTGGATTTGAATTTACCTGATTCGGTTCAGGATTTGGTATTAAGTTATCAAAGATATCTGATTGAAGGCAACACGGCTAAATTGCTAATCAAAAACTGTAGATTGCCAGTCAGCTTAAGACGTCTTGACTTATCATATAATAATATGGACACTCAATCATTAACCAATTTGAACTTGAAGAATCTTAGGAATTTAACCCTGCTCAACTTAAGAGGCAATGACATTAGAGAGCTAGAACAAGGCACATTTCCACCCTCCCTTAAGGTTTTGGAACTAGACGTGAATCCCCAATTATGTGGCCTCAGTTCGGAGGTATTTAACGAATTAACCAATCTCCAATTTCTATACTTAAGTGATTGTAGCATTAGTTGTTCCAGGCCAATTAAATTTCCTGTCTCTCTAAAGTACTTATGCCTACAAAGCAACAAGCTAGAAAACTTAGACGGGTTGGTGTTCCCCAAAAATAGTCAAATTAAATCGATAGAACTCCAACGTAATAAATTTCCACACCCAATAGAAGCTTTATATAGGTTAAGAGCGAAATTGGGAACCAGAGTTGATATTAAACTCTAGATTAAGAACTATCTTTGAATTATATATATATGAAATGTAGGACTTAATACTTTTTACGTAAGAGCATTGGTTGGGGCTATATAATCAATATTTCATTACTTCGTATTAAATCAGTGAGCTTTATAAATCGACATCAGTTCTATGTACCTTTCTAGTTCTGCAAACTCTACAAGTATAGAAATGGTTTTCTTTGAACAAAATCTTACTACGCGTCAACAATGATTTGATTCTATTAGGACTTCTGGAATGATAGAATACGTCAATATTTAGCGTTTGGCAAGGTCGGTCACAGCTAGATTTCTTAGGGTTGGCTGTGTCACGTGCAACTATGGCTTAATTTTTTTTCGTTCATTGGCCAACGCAAAAACGAAATTTGCCCATAAACTTATTCTAGTCACATTTTTATTGTTTTTGATTCATTCTATTGTTCTTTAAAAGACAAGAGATTCGCTGTTATTTTGTTTTATGTCTTATATTTAGCTCTGGATCGACTCTATACTTTATCATTCTTATATTTAATCTATTCCAATAAAAGAAATAACATTATTATATTATAATTTATTACGATAGAAAATTGTAAATATAGAATAACTAGTTAGTTAAACCAATAAGAAGAATAATCAAGTTTTAATAGCTGATAATATATTAAACATAAGACAGGCACCAACAAGCACAGATCCCAATGTCTGATTATTATAAGTTTTTCTTCCCGGATTCCTTAAAACTTCCAAATGATGTGATGGAGTTGGTATTCGGCTATATTCCTACACGTAATTTATTGGTATACAGTTCCATTCCCGTTATCAGCAAGCATTCGATTGCGGAATTGAACAAGAGGAATCTCGAGATTAACTTGGGTACCACCCAATACAGATATGAAGCTCTGGGGTATGACGTAATTGAGAAAATATGATCCCGTCGGAGACGAGACAATGTTGGAACAACAGAGTTATCCATATATGCTCCCTCAGCGTATTCATTTTCAAGATGGCGATGGGACGGATGAATTCATAGAATTTATGAAACACCGCCCCGAACTCCGCCTTGAATCAATTCAATCTGATTTTGCTACTTTAACAGAAATATATGAAAAAGACCCATCTTTGATTCTGAGGATCCAACAGATATCGTTGTTCTTTCACGGAGACCCGGTAGACTTCTCGTTAAGAATTGCAAACATACCCTTTCCAATATATGGCGTTTCCACTTCCGGTACCCAAGAGTACGGCAATCACCAGTTTTACTTGGAAAAATTCCCGCTGGTAAGGTGTCTAGACCAACTCGCTTCCCTAAACATCGGGGACAATATCGACCCAGAGGAATTGAAATATCTCACACGCAGTCTAAAAGTTCTTAGAATTGAGATGGACTCTAATCCCGCCATATTTAAACCATTTTTACCTGAAACATTAGTGACTCTTGAAATTACATTTTCACTTGGGCCTAGGTATGAAACAATGATCGAATTTGACATTGGTGGCCTAAAAAACTTGAAGAAATTAAGTTGTCTGTATATGAAATTGAAAGACTTTTCTAGTTTGAAAGCTCCTAACCAAATCGAGAGCTTGTACATATATTCTATGGAGCTTGAGAGCTTGCATGGCATTGAAAAATATACGAAACTTACTGACCTAGATTTAACTATTACAGATCTCGATCCATATTCGATTTTAGATTGCAATTTGCCGGATTCCATCCAAAGATTGTGTTTACAATTGTCAAGTGAGACTGCTCAACTTTCTGACGATGCCGACGCTGAAATGAGACGGATACCAAATCCGAGACCGCCCATTCGGCTTCCACCTAAGGTTAGGAGTTTTATTATTAACTCCTCAGTAATATTCTTCCCCCAGGATTACATATTCCCTGATTCATTGAAGATTCTTTGTTTATCAGCTCATATAATGCCTTATGTACCTCGCCTTCCTCCGAATTTGATAGCACTCAGGCTCAGTTGCCGACATAAACTTACCCTTCCAGAACCATTACCCAGATCCTTGGTCTATTTACAGACGTCCTTCCTACCAAAAAATGAAGATTTTCTTGCCAACCTACCAAATTTAACCCGGTTTGAATATAGCCTGATATATAAGCATCTTTCGGACTTTGAATATCAATTGCCGGATAGCTTAAGAACTTTAGATTTGGGTATGAACAGCTTAAGTCATTTGAAATTGCAAGATTCTAATTTAAGTAGAATTGACTTGTCTTCGAATAAGTTCTTTGGCTTCGAAGAGCTCGAGCTACCAGATACAGTTCAGGAGTTGGCTTTGAAATATCAACCACTTGCGGTACTTCCAAACGACAGGTTTAGACTACCGGCCAACCTAACTCGTCTCGATCTATCAGCTTGCCAAATAGACACAGAATCATTCAAGAGAATGAAGCTAGAAACATTAAGCCATTTGTCCAAGCTTACGTTGGCAGAAAACTATATCACAGAATTAAAACCAGGTTTTCTACCTTCGTCGCTCAAGGTTTTAGAACTTCTGCGGAATTTTGGATTACAAATCCTTGACTCGGATGTATTCAAAGTGTTAACGAACTTGCAGTACCTATACTTAAGTGAGTGTGGTTTGGAATTGTTGCCACGCATAGAATTCCCTAGATCTCTTAAGTATTTAACCTTAGCATTGAACAATCTTTCAGATGTAGATGGGTTGCAATTTCTGGAAAATCATCAAATGAAAGCAATCGAACTACAGTATAACAATTTTGCCAATACAGAAGCTGTGGTGAATAAGCTAAGAGATAAATTACGAAGGGAATGTGACATTGTCATATAATCAATCAGACCCATTTTAGTACAGAGTCCAGTTTGTTCTCCCTTCAGCTTAGCTCTGTTGACTCAAAATTAGTATTGCACTGCCATTTCTTTTATGAATCATATAGACATTTTCTCTTAAATATACATATGCAAGGGCATCTAATGGTCCTACTGATATACATTACATTGTGATGGAGGTAGAACACCATTCGAGGGAAACGGATTATTAGGAGACTATGGCCAAATACAAGCCATACAGAATAAAAAACAGATGTAGTAGAACAACCAACCGGGACCACAGGAAAGTAGAAATATTGAAGTAATTAACTGACATACCGACCTGACTGAATCCATGGAAATTAACGTCATGGTGCTAAATTCGTTTGCGCTTGTCCCACAATCCGATGTGGAACAACCTTAAAAAGATTTAACATATTTCCAAACAAGAACAGTTTTCTTTTACATGAAGTCAGAAACCTGTTCTGGGGTTAAAGGGGTCGGACAGGTAACGCAAATGGTCTGGAAACACAAAACGCGAAACACGAAAAAAAAATTGCAAAAATTATGTACAATCGCTAACAAAATACAAAATACTCAATTATAAATCGACCCATATTGTTCTTTATTGTCTCTTCTCGTGTGTGCTACTTTCTTATCTCTACAGTAAAATGCCTTCACAGCAACAACTACTTATAGAAAAGTTGAAAATCGAAGAAGAGGCGGAAGCCAGGCTTAAAGAAGCAGTCCTACTTCATGCGAACCAGGATGAAAGACCTCTCACAAAACTTGCAGCTGATTTGAACGTTGATTATGATACATTGTATCGTAGAGTTCATGGATCTGAGTCTAGGAAGATAAGTCATAATAAGCAGAGAAATTTGACTTTCGAGGAAGAGCTCATATTGGAAAATTGGATAAAGAATGAGTATATTCATGGTAGGGCAGCGAGTAAAGTTCGGATTGAACAACTCGCCGTCATGATGATGCAATCCAGAGATTGTTATAAGAAGTTAGGAACCAAATGGTTTTACCGGTTCAGAAAAAGACACCCTGATATCCATTTGAAGAGGCTCAAGTCTATGCCTAAGGGTAGAATGGAAGGTTCTAAGTATGAGAAACTCGAAGCTTGGTTTGAAAAGTTCGAGAATACCGTGAAAAGTCTCAACATTTTGCCAGAAAATATATACAACATGGATGAAACTGCTGTCCAGGTTTTGGAGCAGTCAAATGACTATATGGCCATATCTATTTCTGCTGGTTATCGACAACAAGAGGGATCAACTCGTTCTGAACTTTCCACGAGCATCGAAACAATTTCAGCAACGGGGAAATTTTTGCAGCCTTTGTTTATTATGAAGGGTGAAAACTTCATGACAACGTGGTTTGATGTTAAGGGAAACAACATTCCCGAATTTTCTTGGGGATTAACTGTGAACGGCTGGTCTTCGACCACGAAGGCATGTTGGTGGCTTAATAATATATTTCTTGAACAAACTAAACCCGCTGATCCAGACCAATGGAGGTTGCTAGTACTTGATGGCCATGCAAGCCACACATCAAATGATTTTGTCTGTTTGGCCAAGAAACACAAAGTGTATCCTTTGTATATTCCTGCCCATTCTTCCCACTTAACGCAGCCATTAGACTTGGTTGTGTTTGCAAAGGTGAAGAAGTACTTTAAAAAAGATGTGGTCGAGAAAATAAGAACTTCGAGAAGACTCAGCTTGGAAAAGAAGGAAATTATTCTTTCATACGACGACGCACGGAAAAGATCGTTTACTGAGCACAGTATCCTAAGTGCTTGGAGGAGGGCTGGCCTTGTTCCATATAATCCGCTGAAAGTATTGGATAGACCGGAAGTCATTAGATCTCCGGAGCAAGAAGTTGACACTACAACGGAAGATGTTAGTATCCCAATGGAAGAAGACCCTTTCATCGATCAAATTGAACCCGCCTTTGTTGATCCTAAACGTCCAGATGCTTTCGAACTCAATGCGGCAGCTTTTAGCAATAGGAAAAGTGATTTATTTGGTTTGCATTTGATCAGATGCTACCAGGCGGAATGTAACAAGCTTCAAGCAGAACTAGTCGTTGCACAACGTGAAATTGAAGCTCTAAAAGCATGGAAGGAAAAAGCCGAAACTAAAACAAAGGGCAGAAGGGTTGCTGCTAGTCCTAACAGTAAGGCTCTCAATAGTGAAACCATGCGTAACAAGCTTCATGAAGCAGGTGCAACCCCGAATGGTAGTCCAATTAGAAGAAAGAGAAGAAGAGCCAATAAAACTCCAGAAGGATCTCCAAGGAGGCCATCTCAACGATCCTTGAATTCTGCCAATTTATCGCATCCCTAGAGGTTGAAATCGATAATTTTATAGTATATATTTAGATTCTTTATATGGTTTGTATTAAAGTGTTTTTAGAAATGTATGTGAAATTTTTGTGAAATTTTTGGAGAAATTTTTTTTTTTTTCGTTTGCGTTTCCAGACCATTTGCGTTACCTGTCCCTTCGCGGGAATTTTTGATTTATTTAGCTTCTACAATGTGTTTTAGTTTATATATATATAGGAGCGCAATTATTTTACACTTCTAAGCTTCCAGATAGCCTCTCGTTCAGCAAATATTGTATAACACCCCTATAGATTGAATATAAATTCTTATTATTCAATTTTACCGAGAAATGTGGAATCTGTGGATGCCGATTTTTTGTTCGTGTAATGCCTGTTCTTAACTATGTAAAAAAAAAACCGGCATCCACAGATTCCAAACTCTACGAGTATAGAGATGCTTTTTCTTTAAACACAATTTTCAGAGGTATCCACAATGAATTGATTCTAGCCTGACCTTGGAGGCACAATGTGATGGCCCGATAGAGTACTCCACTATTTAGCATTTGGCAAGTTGTGTCACAGTTAGATTCCTTATGCCAGATCGAGTATGCGTGTTTTGGTTGTCTCACGTGCGCCTGGTTCAAAATTTTTTGGTTGAAAGGGAAACACAAAAACGAAATTTGGCCAAATTTACGTTTAGTCCCACTTCCCCCTATTCCATAGGATCCCAATGTCAGATTATTAGAAGTTTTTCTACCCCGGATCTTTACCACTTCCAAATGAAGTGTTGGAGTTGGTATTCAGCTATATTCCTACACGTAATTTATTGGTATACAGTTCCATTCCCTTTATCAGAAAGCATGCAATTGCGGAATTGAACACACGGAATCTCGAGATTAACTTGGGTACCTCCCAGTATAGATATGACACTTTGGGATATGACATAGTCGAGAAGTGGAGATATGTTCCTATCGGGGATGAGACAATGTTGGAACAACGGAGTTATCAATACATGTTCCCTCAGCATATTTATTTTCAAGATGGCGATGGTACAGATGAATTTCTAGAGTTTATGAAACACCGCCCCAAACTCCGACTTGAATCAATTAGATCTAATTTTGCTACTTTAATGGAAGTATATGAAAAAGACCCATATTTGATTCTGAGGATCCAAAAGATATTGTTGTTCTTTCATGGAGACCCGGTGGACTTTTTGTTAAGAACATCAAACTTTCCCTTTCCAATACATAGCATTTCCACTTCTGGCACCCCAAAGTACGGCAACCACCAGTTTTACTTGGAAAAATGTCCCCTTGTAAGGCGTCTAGACCAACTCTCTCGCCTAAACATAGGGGACAATATCGACCCAGAGGAATTGAAATATCTCCCACGCAGACTAAAGGATCTTACAATTAACTTGGAGTCTAATCCCACCATATTTAAACCATGTTTACCTGAAACATTGGAAACTCTTGATATTACATTTCCAACTGGGTTTGGGCTTGAAGCTATTATCGAATTTGACATTGGTGGCCTAAAAAACTTGAAGAACTTAAGTTGCCAGTATATGACATTGAAATACTTGTCTAGTTTGAAAGCTTCTGACAAAATCGAGAGCTTGTACATATATGCTACGAAGCTTGAGAGCTTGCGTGGCATTGAAAAATATACGAGGCTTACTGACCTAGATGTAACTTCTACAGACCTCGATCCATATTGGATTTTCGATTGCAATTTACCTGATTCCATTCAAAGATTGAGTTTCCAATTGCTTCACACTGGACAACTTTCTGACGATTACGAATCTGAAGTGAGAAGGATGCCAAATCGGAGACCGCCAATTCAACTCCCACCCAAAGTTAGGAGTTGTCTTATTAACTCCCCAATAATATTTTTCCCCCAGAATTACGTATTCCCTGAATCATTGAGGATTCTTTGTTTATCAGCCGAGATAATGCCTTCCGTACCTCGCCTTCCGAATTTGATAGTATTCAAGCTCAGTTGCCGCCATAGACTTACACTTCCAGAGCCGTTACCCAGATCTTTGGTTTATTTGGAGACCTCCATCGTACCAGAAAATGAAGATTTCCTTGTCAACCCACCAAATTTAACCCGCTTCAAATATGCCCCTATACATCTGCATCTTCTGAACTTTGAGTACCAATTACCGGAAAGCTTAAGAGCTTTAGATTTGGGTATGAACCATTTAGGTCTGTTAAACGTGGAAGACTCTAACCTAACTGCAATCGACTTGTCTTCGAATAAGTTCTTTGGCTTTGAAGGGCTCGAGCTACCAGATACGGTTCAGGAATTGGATTTGAAATTTTCAGTGCTTACGGTTCTTCCAAACGACAGGTTTAGATTACCTGCCAACTTAAGTCGTCTCAATCTATCAATTTGCCACATAGACACAGAATCATTGAACAAGATGAAGCTAAAAAGGTTAAGACATTTGTCCAACCTTACGTTGGCCGCTAACGATATCTCAGAATTAAAAGCAAGCTTCCTACCTACGTCGCTCAAGGTTTTGGAACTTCTGCTGAATTCTCAATTGCAGATCCTTGACTCGGATGTATTTAAAGTGTTAACCAACTTGCAGTACCTATACTTAAGAAATTGTGAATTTTCTTGGTTGCCGCCAATAGAATTTCCTCCATCTCTTAAGTATTTGACCTTAGAAGGGAACAATCTTACAGATGTAGATGGGTTGGAATTTCTGGAAAATCATCAAATGAAAAAAATCGAACTACTGGGCAACCCTTTTGCAAATAAAGAAGCTGTCTTGAATAAGTTAAGAAGTAAACTAGGAAGGAAAGTTGTCATTGACATATAAACAATCAGACACATTTCAGTGCAGAATGCAGTTCGTTCTCCCTTCAGCTAAGCTATGTTGGCACGTATTTAACTACCATTTTGTTTAAATTGTATAGATATTTTCTCCTAAAAAATACGTTTACATGGGCTAACGTCTTGGTTCCAAACTAGTTTGGGGTTGTCCCAGAATCCGATTTCGAATCACCTTAAGAAAATGTAAGATATTTCCAAACAAGAACATGTTTCTTTTACATACATACATATACTATACAGAGCATAATCTAAGTAACACAAGAGATAAAAAAATCAATCATAAAACATCATAAAAACACAATTAAAACAGTCCACTTTCTCTCTTCCATATTTTCACATCACCTGCAAAGTCCTTTCTCTCCATCTAACGGCATTCCAAAATGCACTATAACTCCACGTCAACTCTTTGGCTCCTTGCATATATCCGGTATACTTATTAAACTGCTCCGACATTCTCCCTTCACCATCCACATGAGTCTTTATCACAGAAAGGAATGAATCTGCATACAGAGCCAATTGCAGCATTAATGTCCGATACATGACCGAATTAAATTCAATAACCACGGCATTGCCATCGTTCGGCTCCTCATCTATTGATATAAATTGACTGAAGAAACCACGATTGGCCGCTGTGATGACAATATCTTGACGAAGAGTGATGCATTTGTGAATAAGTCTATAGACAAACTCCAGAGCCGTGGCAGTGGATATAAACCACGGATTACCTTCACTAGTATGAACACCATCGTAAATATCTTCTGGGTAACGACCAATACCCACACCTACTCCAAGAAAACCGATTTTGTTGTGGTTGATTGGATATCTAAACTTCATATCATTCACCATGGCAACTAACGTGTTTATGACGTATGGGTTATCTATGTCGAACGGAATCATGGAGCTATCAGATTGGTAGTCGTCGTGAGAATGTATGGAACCAAGGAGTGTAGCAGCATCAAGACCGGATCTGTGACCAATCTTATACAAATTGGGGCATTCTATAATGTGGGAGATAACTGACGATGTGAAACCGAATTGTTGTTGAGATTCAATTGCCAGCTTGAGTTGTTGAAATGCCGTGATAAGCTGATCTTGGAGTTCGTAGTCTTTGTATTTTGCGGCAAATTCTATACCGTCTTTAATGGCCTTGAGCTGAGTAATAGAAGTGAAGAAATGGATGGAATTTATTTCTTCCCAAAGATCAAATCCTGGTTTCTGCCAATTTTGTACAATATACATCAAATCAGGCCTTATTACCTTGAAATAAATGAATTTTTGATTTTTCAAAATTTGGGATTGGATAGGGGCATCGAATTTATCTATTAATTTAAGATAGTACATAATTGTACTTGATCTTAACCCAGGACCATCCCTCTGTGGTCTACCCCAACTTTCATTGAAGACAGTATTATCAACATTAAATTTAGGTTCTCCTAAGCCTGATTTATCTGCAAAGGTTCCTGACAAGTTATCTAATCTCTGCAATTGATAATTATTTTCGATAAAACTCTCTATAACATCAAGCAATTGACCTTGTTGTTCAAATTCATCTTGCGTCATATCATTTAAATGGCACAATAATGTCTTTATGGTAATAGCCAGATCTCTTATCCATTGATAGAAATAATTTGGGTATGAAGTGGATGGACTTGCTATTACTATTCCCTTTTCTACTATGGTAGGGTCGAGAATTTTACTTAAACCACCAATATTGTTAAATATTCCTTCGAAACTAATAATCTTTTCCTGAACTAACCAGGCTTCAAAATCATCCTGTTGCGTGCCTGAAGGGTAGAAAAGTGAGATGAGGTCATCAAAAAGGGAATGGCTGTATGATGTTGTAGATGGAGATAGTTGGAATATCCTCTGAGGGAGGATAGTACTGGAACATTGGGAAAATGCAAATGTGTATATAAGAATATTTGATAGCTTCATGACGATAAAAGGGTATTATAAAAAAGGAGAAGCGTCTAGTCTAAAGAATAAGCTGTGTCTGAAAAATTGTAGTTGATTCTTTTGTGGTAATAAATCGGATAATATAGAATTTTCTTAGATAATTCTCAAATGTAAATGAAGGATTCAAAGAAAAATAATTGACAATTGGAATCATAAACCAAGCTTCTTGTTTGCCTTATTTGAAACAAAAGAAAGCCAAATCAAAAATACCAAAACGATGTAGATAAATGGATGCTCTTTTTATATATAGTTTTGAACAATATAAAACACGTTCTTTATGTAAAATTGATAGCAATTCAACAGGGATTTAGGAGCAAATAAATAAATAGCAACAATTAGATAAGAAAAACAATAAGTTGCAAAAATAATTTTTACAAACAAAAACTTTTTCTGTTGGGTGCGAAATTTAAAAATAAACAAAAATCAAAGATGCAACTAAAATCAATGGATGACGTAATAACTTTTTTATGTTTTTTCTCAAACAACTTTCAGTCGGAAGCTAACCCTTTCTTTATTTAAAAACTAAGTTGATTAAGATATATTTCATAAGTTGATGCTATCAACTATATATATGCAGTGTCTTCTTTGAAATTCAAAGTGATTGTAGTATGGTGGAGTGTGGTAGAAAAACAAACAAACTTTGGGTTGATTAGTTACTATTGTCAACTGATATTCAAGTTCTTTTATAGTAATGAAATTAGATCTTCAAAGCAAATTGGAGACTAGTGGAAAGGGAAATATCGGCTAATATTTATAGTAAGGTACTGAGATGAAAAATTTTCCAAATGTAACCAAAATGATTGACAAAAATAAATGATCACAAAATTTTTTCTTAGTTTAAAATCCGGGGAAAATGGAAAGAAAAACATGACCATATAAAAAAATATTTCATTGATCGCTTCTCTACTACAAATTTGATTTTGACATTCTATCATCGAATATTATCATCATGACTCACTAGTTGGCTTTTGAACACGTTTCTAAATTAAATAATTAAATAATTATCACATCGTACGACTGATCATCCCTTCTCGGTCCATCAATGTTTGGATCAAGTGCACTAGGCTATGTAAAAACACTCAGCCGATCTCATAAAAATACGCATCATCAATTGGAATCAAGTTCGTAAAATGAGAAAAAAATTTCACATTGTTAATTAATTTCACATGAAAACTTTTAAATGTTTAGTGGAGTCTTGAGAGTTTCATGATTCATATTGTAAATTAGACTAATTAGATAATAAAATAAAATGACCTATATCACGAGAAATTGAGCAATTATATTATTTCGAACTTGTGACGTGTTGCTATGTGTATCAGTGAATAATATCTAGGGGTGCTTAATGTGGTAGCAACCAAAAATTCATTTCATTTACTGATTCTACATCATCACATGAGTTGACAAGATTACAAGATTTGAAGAGATCGTTATAGGGTATGAAGTGGACGATGCAAAAGAACCATTACAACAGAGAAGTAGAGGTTCGGGGTCTATCACAGGTATTTTCATGGTCATTCATCTCAACTTATCCAATATTCTCCGGCAATATTTCACCGAATTCAAAAATTCCAAAAACATTACACAATACTTGAACTATTATAATACATTTTCATTTCTCATACATACTTAGAAACGTATATACAAAATCCAAAATCTCTTTAAAAGAGACATATCAAAACGAACTAAAGAATAAAACTAAAAATACACAAAATTGAAAGGGAAATATTTATCTCAACTTAAAACTTAGTTAGAAGCAGAAGAATATTTGGTAACAGCTCTGGTACCTTCAGAAACAGCATGCTTAGCTAATTCACCTGGTAAGATTAATCTAACAGCAGTTTGGATTTCTCTAGCAGAAATGGTAGACTTCTTGTTGTAAGCAGCTAACTTAGAAGCTTCAGAAGCAATTCTTTCAAAGATATCATTGACAAATGAGTTCATGATAGACATAGCCTTTTGGGAAATACCAGTATCTGGATGGGTTTGTTTTAAAACCTTGTAGATGTATGAGGAGTAAGTTTCCTTTCTAGCCTTGGTTCTCTTTTTAGCACCTTCGGTAGAAGCGGTCTTCTTAGCAGCTGGTTTCTTTTCAGCTGGAGCTTTGGAGGCAGGTTTCTTTTCAGCTTTTGGGGCCATTGTAGATATATGTTATATTTAGTAACTGGTTAAGTTTAAAGGAAAGGAAAAAGAAGAGTTGTTTAAAATTTATGAAACTCTTGGGAAATTCAATTGTTTATAAATCAATTCAGAAGAAGAAAATGATACGCGGTATTTTNGTTAAGTTTAAAGGAAAGGAAAAAGAAGAGTTGTTTAAAATTTATGAAACTCTTGGGAAATTCAATTGTTTATAAATCAATTCAGAAGAAGAAAATGATACGCGGTATTTTCTCAATTTATTGCTGCAACGCCATTTGTTTATGTTTTGAATTTTCATGCGAGGTACGCGGTAGAAGAAGACTTCTGGGAACAAAATTACGCTTATAGAATGAAAATTACCACGAAAAAATCAATTCTGACAATTACGCCCTTAAAAGAGTAATTCTGAGAATTGACAGATTCTCCCCTACCAACCCTCAATCAAGCTCCTCGTCCCACACAAAAAATATGGCAAACCACGTAATCTTCTCGCAAAACGTAAACAATTGACGCATCCTCAACCTCATCATATAAATATTTAAATAATCTAATATCCACTTAAATCAAAGTTGGATTATTTTCTTCTTTTTCTTTTCTCTTCAACTTATATTCATTAACTAAATCAAATCAAATCATATACAATGTCAGGAGGTAAAGGAAAAGCAGGATCAACCGAAAAGGCATCCACTTCAAGATCTGCCAAAGCTGGTTTAACTTTCCCAGTCGGTAGAGTCCACAGATTATTAAGAAAAGGTAACTACGCTCAACGTATCGGTTCCGGTGCCCCAGTCTACTTAACTTCCGTCTTAGAATATCTTTCTGCTGAAATCTTAGAATTAGCCGGTAACGCTGCCAGAGATAACAAGAAATCCAGAATTATCCCAAGACATTTACAATTAGCCATTAGAAATGATGAAGAATTAAACAAATTGTTAGGTCATGTTACTATTGCTCAAGGTGGTGTCTTACCAAACATTCACCAAAACTTATTACCAAAGAAATCTGGTAAGGCTACCAAGGCTTCTCAAGAATTATAAATTGGTAATGAAAAGCTATTATAAATATCAGGAAAAGTGGTGTTTATTTTATTTTTAGTTCTTTGTGTATTATAAATAAATAATAATATTGTTGTGAAAATGATGTTTCTTTGTAGGGGGGAACCTTTATGTTGTAGACCAATCCCTGATCGTGTGTGTTGGCCACTTAACCAATGGGGATTTCTCACCTTCTAAATGTGAGGTCATATTCACAGTCGTTTCAGGACAACTGGCGCAAATCCAGACATTTGGAAGGGACCGCAGCCCACTGACCTGTCTTTGGGAAGATAATGAAAACGGAGCCTAAACACCTTATTTAACTTCAATCATGCCATCACAAGCAATCTTAGATTGTACACTAAAATCGTCGGCAAAATTAATGTAAATTCAGATAAAGAGCCTCGCAAAGGTTCGCTTAATTCAGTTTCCGAAGTCTCCTTCCCGGTTTCCCGATAACCACTATTTGACAATATATTTATTCGAATCTAAATATATGGAATTCAGATGGCAGGGGACAATCTACCCTTCCCCCCTTCGGAGTGCAATCGATTACATGATATACATGCAAGGACTCTAAACTACTCTATGTTAGCGGCTCATCACAAAGCAGAGCTCTTATTTAGTGTTCCAGACGCAAAACGAACAATGTGAGAGTTCCGGGATGGGGGGAAGAGCAACTTGACGTTAAAAAGATGTAATTGTATAACAACTTCAACAGGTTCTCGCAATTCTACAAGGCAACAAAGAAAATGTAGGTAATTTTATACCAGAATCCGACTAGAATAGCCTTCTCACCAATGCGGTCTTTGCAATTCTAAAAATTATCTAGGAGTTTCCGGATTATAACTACATGAAGGACTAATGTAAGCAGATACTTCATCAAGTTCTTGAAATTTTGATTTTAAAATTAGAAAACAGTTGTTAGGAAGCTTCAGGTGCCGTAGAGCCCAAACTGAACTCCACAACGGAAGCTATAGATGCCTTAGAAACCAAACTGAACTCCGCAACGAAGTTCATAGCGGAAAGAGATACATAATATATACCTACCAATATATGTTAGCGGTTCAAAGTCCGATAACAGAGTATATTGCGCTAACTTTAATTTTAACGCACTTTCCATGAAAGTTGGCCATTTCACTTGCTTTAAGAGGGTAAGTTCACCAATGGACAACCCATCTAGGTCTTTTGTTCTATCATACTAAACTCCTATTGTAGTAATATATGTCTATCACATCGTAGAAACTTTCAATCTAAAATTGAAACCAGTTTGAACATGCAGAGCAGTTGCATTCTGGTAGAGAAAGGCACCCTTGGTACGTTTCGTAAGCGCAAAAAGTGAAAAGTGAACCTTATTTTGTGGTCACTCCATTCTAATTTTTCAAGGCGATTTCTTTTAATTAAGGTGTTAGTGACCCATGTGAATGGCCATAATTGAATCAATCTGATGTCCGCAGCATTGATTTCAGTGAATCTACATTCTTTGGGAATTAAAGAACTGTCAGAACTTTGAATAAATTTACGGAGATTACATCCAACGGATCAAAGGAATACATCATACAGACCGCTAATGTTTGAGAGTCTTTTGTAGACAATTTGTTGTCTATTGCTAACAATCGACCACTTGTTGTCCATTGTTTTAATTCAGGTGACTGTGATTTTTGGAGTTTGCAACTGTTAATCGATGTATATCATCAGGCTCCACACCACCAACATGCCACAAGTCATAGTATCCAACATACTACTGTAATACCACTGGGTCCTCATATCAACTCGGCGGTTATTCGGCACCTATGGAATTAGCGGCTTGCACCTTAATTGGAAAGTGGTCTTGAACATTTTTTTAATAATTTATCAAAAGCCTCATTCTAATTATGCTGCAAAAAGAAATACGAGAACAGATAAAAAATAATTAATAAAATAATTTATCGGAGTTTAGATAAATGATCTCGACCGAAGGGCAAATCCAATCAATTTAAGCGTCATATCACAGCACTCCGCATCAGGCCACATATGGAAAATTGGGGATTTTCCGTGCAACAGAAGGGCATATGACACCTAAATCATCAAACTGAAGTTTATTTAGCTTTTCTATACAACCTTTGCTTCATACGATGGCATATAAGATTCTTAGATCCAATCTCGCGACGAATACCGGGAGATTTTAACTTTAAGCTTTGCAATTTGTTGGGGAATTTTGCGGGGTGCTTTAATTATAAAAATTTATCCCTCTGTCTTATGATTTGAACTGGTTATTCCCTATATACAATACATCCGACTGACAGAGTTAACACTTGAATTCACTCGAATTCCAAAAGCTTCCATAGGAATTAATGTATTGTAAATAAATTACTGAATTACTATTGTCTGCCAAAAAATTAATTTTCCTGACCAGAGGATGCAATCAATATTGCAAACTTAAAAAAGTACATATGAAACTAGAAGATATGCATATCCTAAATGTATAAAAGCTTATTCAATAGCCGTATTGCTCCTCAACAACACCCGCTAACGGATATCTAGAAACTACAACCTTATCCAAAATTCTGGGGTAATTCCAAGATTGAATCAGTTATATAAATGCTCCACTATTTCCATCATGTCTAGTGTCTCACATGTACCCTTTGCAAGCAATAAATGCCTAAACAACTGCTGATAACATGAGTGGACAAAGCGAAGTAAAGGGTTTATCTAACGTTGATATCGAAAAACAAGGATCAAGCTCAGAACCATCTATTCAACAAGCAACAGAGACTCCTGTTGAAAACAGTAATATCATTTCCACTGGGTTTGCAGATTTTCACGATAAATTGGATCCAGACAAATACGGTCAAATTCAAAGAAAGCTTAATGGACGTCATGTTAACTTAATGATTATTGGTCAATCGATTGGTTCTGGTCTTTTCATTGGATTATCGGGTCCCTTAATGTCACTGGGATCATTATCTTTATTCCTTGGATTTTTGACTTATGCTTGTATCAATATCTATCCCCTTATGCAAGGTGTTGGTGAGATGTGTAGTTATTTGCCGATTAAAGGGACATTCTTGCATTATACTGCTCGTTGGGTAGATCCAGCCCTTGGGTTTGCATGTACGTTGATTTATTTATATACCACCTTGATGTTTGTTTGTTTGGAAGCTGTAGCGGTAGCCGCATTGGCTAGTTTTTGGACTGATGCCAATCCCGCGTATTTTATCACTGCCTCAATTGCTTTATATTTCTTCGTGAACGTCTTCGGGGTCAATTGGTATGGTGAAA